GCTGTCCTCCTGCCACAAAGGCAGAGTTCGACAGTCACAGCAGGGACAGGCCTTTGAAGTCTGAACTACTTAATACTTGGTCCTTTAGAAAAAGCCTGCTGACCTTTGATTTATAGCAAGCCGTGTTTCCAGCCTGTGACCACAGTGATTTCCTAAGGGGAACCTCCGTCACCGTTCTCCAAAGGCCAGAGTGACCTTCCTAAAGTCATCATGTTTACGTCACTCCTCCACGCAGGACCTTCCAGGTTCACTGTTACTCAAAGCCCAAAGCAAAACCCTAGCATGGTACTCAAGGTCTTTATGCATCACTATCGGTCTGGGACACCTCTTGCCTCATGAGGGACTCCCTTGTCAACAGAGGCCAGGCAAACACTCTCACTTCCCAGAATGCACCACGCATCTCCAGGCTCCACTCTAAGACTCCCCACCAGGAACGTTCTTCTCCCATTCCCTTCCTCCCTCTTCTTATTTTGTGACTTCTTCCTCTCCATCCCTACCCAAGTCTGTGAAATGGGCACTTCTATCACGTTCCCTCACATGCTCTGGTGCAATAACCCATCAGCTTGTCTGTCTCTGTCTAAACTGGGTTTCCCAGCTCCTTACACCCAACACTCCTGATCTTACTGTCCACTATGCCTTCTCTAGCACTATATCAACCACACTTTTTGTTGGCTGGGCTCCTGGAGTGGTACAGCATCAGCTCTTCTGAGTGAGAGGTTTTCCTGGCACAGCCCAGTTACCGGTTCCTGTATTCCTGTTTGCCAGAGCTTTCCAAACCTTCTGTGGAATCTCCTCAGTAACTCCATCGTGGTCACAGGATAACAGTACCCATTTTCCGGATGAGTAAACAGAAGGTGAGAACCTGGCCACAATGACACAAAGCTGCAGGCAGGTAGAAATGGGGCCTACCCAAACCCTTTTGGACCAAACCTTTCTACCTGTTGTGACTTTCCGCACTGACTGACATCAAGATGAAGAGACATGTCTGATCACGAAGCAGGACACAACCAACCAGGAAGCCATGCTGTGTAGGTGAGGAAGTCCAGGGTCCGAGACAGAGCACCCAACGTGGAGGGAGGCTGCAGCAGAGAGCCACAGATGAGGTGGCAGCTGGGTGGACTCAGAAGGATCAATGGGGTGTGGAGAGCAGAGAGGCCCACAGAGAACTCGAGGTCTCAAGGACCCATTAGCATGGTTAATGCCTTCGAAATCAGATGTATCGGGCTGGGGCTGTAGCTGAGTGATAAAACGCTTGCCCAGCATGTGTGATCCTCAGCATCACATAAAAAATAATAAACAATTAAATAAATAAATAAAGTTATCATGTCCATTTATAACTAAAGAAAAATAGTTAAAAGAAAAAAAAATTAGATATATCATATAGTCAATAAAACAACGTATCTTCCTGTCTGATGCCCAAGTCCCCTTAATTTTTGTTACCTTCCTCAATTTAAAATGTTTCTGACTTTACCATGTAACCCTCTTAGGTAGGCTTTTCCTACCCAGTTACACAGGCACCAGGTTATTTCATACTTTGTTTCATATTTCTTTAGAATACCATTATTTCCTAATTTAATCAGATCAGCTGATCTGATCCAAAGCAAAATCCACAGATTAACTCATGTATTAAGAAAATGAAATCACCAAATTAAAAAGTCAAGACACAAGTTCTGAGATGAAACGACCCACCTGTTGTCAAGCTATGCCAAGCTCTAGAAAACCAGGTTCCGACAAGACCTCTGACAAACTCTCCCTAATTTCTTGGGAACAGCAATAAATATATAAAGGGATCAAGACCCACATCTTTCCCGCAACTAGTATAATGTAGTACATCCAAAAGCAGCGTGCGTTTGACACATAGGATTCCAGTTACTCCTTGCTTCTGAGATACCGCCTCTTCAAAAGGCTTGAAAATTCTCAGAAAATGACCCCATCTTGGAACCCTTACAAATCTTGTATTGTTTTAATTAACACTTCCTTCAAAGGCATTTTAGTACAATTTTTGGAGGTGTGATCTCTTCGGGGCTTCAGGACAGCTAGAACCCCCAACAGTCACTGAATAGTACAGCACACGTGGGCTCTCGAGCCAGTCAGCAAGGCTTCAAACCCTTGTTCTGCCACACAGTAGCTGTGGGACCAAGTTAGCTGCTCTCTGTGCCTTGATTTCTGCATCTGAAACTGAGAAGAACCGCCTATTGGGTTGTATGAAGATTAGATTAACTGACACAGGTAAAGAAAGACCTTGGAACAGTATTTAGCACACAGCAAGCATTCAACACATGTTAACTATCACCACCACTCAGCTAGGTCCTCTACCAGGCACTGGGGTGGGAGGACAGTGGCACTCAAGCTGAAGGAACTCCAGTCTACCTGAGACAGACAAATGAAGGACAGTAAAAGGGCGTGAGGTTCGTAAGCAGGAACCATGCTCAGGGGCTGGGTGAGGGTGACCAGACAGCACAGTGAAAACCTGCACAGACATTCACTATCCCCCAGAGCAGCCAACTTCAGCACCTAAGCATGTGGAGACAGAAGCTAGCAGCATCTCTTCTCCCTAGAAGTCATCCTGACTTCTCTATTTTGACCCTTGGTCACCTCGTCCACCTTTCTGCACAAGCAGGAGAGGCCAGTCACCACTGTGGGAACTCTTGCTAATCTCCTGTGAGTCCACTCACCCCAACTTGCAGGGAGATGAGAATCACTGATGGCACAATGGAACCATGGCTCTGAACAGGACAGCTGATCTGATCCGAAGCAAAATCCAGTGCTTTAAAACAAATAAATTGTACACAGTCCAATACTGGCATCAGAGGTTATGACTGAGGAATTATTTGTTTAAAAAAAAAAAAAAAAAGTCAATGAAAACCAGAGCCTTTCCCATGCTACTTGCTCCATGACCTTTGAAGTCAGGCCTGCCTACTTCTACCTGTACACCAGCCTATGCTTAATGGGCCACGTCCCTACTGAAGTCAGGAGAGAACCCCATCTTTAATCGTTCTGAGGTACTTCTGACAACCCATCACAGGGACAGAAGAAAGATAGTCCAAAGTGCAGGGTTATATGAACTCTGCAGAGTGGGACTAAGATCAGAACAGAACCTTCAAAAGTCTCACAAATCACAAGTTTACAAAGACACTTTGCCATATGCCTTCAGTTCTGCAATCCAAGCACCAGAGTACAAGAACATCCCCTTGAAGTCCCTTTCTCCTCCTAACTATTCCTCAACAACATTTCTCCTTCAAAACTGAGTTTGGGCAGAACTAGTTTCTTGAGCCTTGTTGCTTTAACAATCCCCAGTTGCTAATGATTATATTTTGACATCCATTCTGTAGTAATAACACAATTCAACATCACAACCATTTGACAAAAATGATAAGATTATAAATTGTGTTAATCTCAATAGATTACATTTAAGGCATAAAGGAACTAAAATAGTTGGCTTTGAATACATACAATAATAACAACAACAGCAACAACAACAACAACAAAACAACAATAATAAAGGGTAGCTAGCTATCATAAAATAACGTTACTCCCCCCTCCAAAAAATGACAACCTGAACACCAAACTTTCCAACGAACTGGGATGTATCTCAGGGGTACACAGCCCTTGCCCAGTATCTTAAGGCTCCAGGTTTGATCACCAGCATGACTAGGTTGGGCAAACCACTCACAATGCAAAAAGTTCTAATCAGTTTACTTCAGACAATAGAGTATTTCTGCCAAGACTTTTAAGGGAAAGAATGCTATTTTCAAAAGCATAAAAAACACATCAGTTTAGATTTAAATTTTAATTCATTCAACTTATCAATAAACTACAAAACAGAAATTAAGACCAGCACTTAGTGTCCCACCCTACACAAACAAGCTTTGCCTTCTTTCAAAAGACTCACATGTGAGGCCGAACTGTGACCCACTTGGCAAGTGAAACAAAAAAAACTAGAGTTAACATGTTTCAAATCCATACAAAAACAAAATCAATAGGGTATTAGGTTACATAAAAGAGTCACCTAGTTTCTATCCCAAACCATATACCTCTTTGGCAGTGTCTGAGAGCAGTTTGCCTTGCTGCATGACCAGGGCACAGTCTACCCATGGGGCTAGGATCTCCAGATGTCCTCAAGGGTCATGGTCAAACCAGACACTGCCAGGGAGGGGAACAAGGTGAAGGAGGAGGGAGCAAAAGGTCATGAGGCGCCAAGGTGTAGGAACTCGGCCCAGACGTCTGACCAGACAGAGGCTTAGTAATCTGGGACAGGGAAGGGTACTTGATGCAAAGACAAATCATTTTTAAGTCAAAGTCAAAGATTCACTGCTTAGTAAGATGGTTGAACAAGAACAACAAAAAAACACGAAATGTCTCGTAATTATCATTACCCCACCTTTAGAGCTCTGCTGGCTACCTGTCCACAACCCTAAACTTCAGGCCCTGGACCCTCCGAAGCTGTGATTAAGGGAAAGAATCAGGCAGCAGAGATGCCTCAAGGTTCAAGACTAAATTCTGGATAAGAGACTTTAAAGCGAATAGTGGAGGAGAAAACACCCGCAGTGAAGACAGCCTAAGGGCAAGCTGCCCACCTGGGGTGAAGGCTACGCAGAGGAGGCCCGGAGCTGCCTCCCGGGGACAGGCAAAGGTCCGGTGGGCGCGTCCCAGCCCTCCTCGAACTGGCCGCTACATGACCTGCCACTAACACCCCGAGATACCCTCCGCGGACACTCGGGGGCCGGTGTTCACCCGCACCCCGACTTACCTTCCACGGACACAGCGAGTCCAGGCTCCACGATCCTCCAAGACCCTGACCACCAACACCAGGAGGCCGGCGTCCGGGGCGCCCCGGGTCCCTCCAGCGCCCCCCCCCCCCCGAGGCCGGCATCCGGCCCCCACCCCTCTCCGGGTCGCGGCCTGGGTCTCCGCAGGACCACGCGGGGCCGCGCGGGCGGAGGTGGCCGCGTCCCGGCGCCCGCCCGCGCGCGACCTCGTGCCAGCTCCCGCGGCCTCACCTTCCGCCACGTCCTCGTCGACGGCGCCCTTCACCTGCGAGAAGCACCACTGGAAGTCGTTGCCCGCCGGGCAGCCGCCGCCTCCGGCTCCTGCAACACAACGGGCGGTCAGGCCGGCCCCGCCCGCCCCACCGGCCCTCCCGCCCGCCCGCGCGCCCGCGGCCCTCACCCGCCATGGCCGCGGCGCGGGACGGCGCCCGCCCAGCCGAGTGCGGCCGACCGCAGGCGCCGCCGCCGAGCCTCAGCTCCGGCCGCCGCCGCCGCCGCCGCCGCCGGGGAGGGATTTTTTTTCCCTTTTCAAAATGGCGCCCAATGCCCGTCGCCCCGCCGGCTGACGTCATCCCCCTCCGCCTCCTCCGACGGCCCGGGCGGGGCGCGCCGCGGGGGCTGCCGGGGGCACGCTGTGCGCCCACAGCGCCTGCGCGAACTGTTCTGACCTAGACCACACGCCACGGCCGGGCGAGGGGCGCCTTCGGACGGCTGGTCCGGCGGGCGCAGGCTGACTGTAGGCCCCTTGGCCTGTTGGGCAGTTGACGTGCGCCGGGCGGTCCCCTGAGGACTAGTCGCCCCCGAGTGGGCTGGCTCTAGGGGCCGGACTTTCGCCTCCGGAATGGCCCCGCCCTTTCCCACGCCTCGGCCAATGGGAGCGGGGGCCCGCCGCGGAGCAGCCAATGGAGGGCGCTCAGCGGCAGTGGGCGGGGCGGCCGGGCCGGGCCCACTTTAGCACGAAGTCGGGCTTACTTACTCTTCCCTCCTGTGAATGCCCGGCCCTTGGTGGTACCCAGAGCGCTAGGAACCCTACCAAATTGTTACTTCAGGGGTTCTAAGGTCCCAGAGTAGCCGTAGGGAAAGTGACTGGCCGAAGCACAACGAGTGGAGACAAGAGGTAGTAGTGGAAGCAGGGTGGCTCTTTCCAGGACTAGGACTCTAGGGAAGACAGAGAGGAGCATCACCACGGTCTGGAGCTTTAACAGGGCTGGTCTGCTGAAGACAGCCAGTGGGGATCCAAGGGAGGATGCTAGGACACCAGTGAAGAGGCCGGCAGGTGTCCAGACAAGGGGTTCAGGGTGGAATCTCACTGGGTATGGTGAAGCATACCCAGTGAATATGCATTTCAGAGATGAGTACTTGGAAGCATGGTCTCCATGGATTTGCAGAGGAGATGGGGTTGGGGGCACACAATAACTGCACTTGCATGATCTGAACACCTGGAAGGAAGCGTTTCCAGGCCCGAGACAAAGGAACTGTTCAGTATGTGACCCTTAGAGCCAGTTGCTTGATGGTACTGTTGAATTCAACCAAGCGCTTCCTAATTTCCTGCCTGTGGATCTGTGGGTTCCTGCTGGGATGCTGAGGTCCTCATCTGTAACAGTGGGTCCCTCTGCTTCTCCTTGCAGTCTGTCAGCTCTTGTCTCATGAGGTTTCACGCTCGAGGCCCCATGTGTGTGCTCTAGGATCCTATGTCTTCCTGCAAAATGGCTCTTTTATCATTAGGTAATGCTCAGTTTATTTCTCATCTTTTTTCTTCATTTGAAGTCTGCTCAGTCTGAAATTAATATAGCTCTTCCCACTTTCTTTTTCCTTTCTGTTTCTGGTGCCTTGAGTATGTTAGGCAAGTGCTGTACTGAGCCACATCCACAGCCTAAGAAGCCTGTTTTACCTATAAGGACACAGATTACCAGTAAAGGGATGGAGAAAAGTACACCAGGTTAACACTGATCAGAAGACTGGGAGTACTGGCAGGCACAGGGCCCTCAGCACTGTTACCGCTGTTGACCGGTGACGAGTTCTTGCTTCCCCAAT